TTGTAAAACTTTTACATTTTAATGAAATTCTTTTCAAGAAAAGTGTTACCAAAGTCAAATTTATTTTTTTTGAAGTACTTGGTTTTCAGAACCATTAGTGAAGGAAATTGGTGAAACAAATATTGATCATCAGTTTTGTTAATGTCTGAGAACGGCATCAATCTGAAATACCCTGCATATTTAAACGTGTCCTGAATAAAAAGAGTAGAAAAGATTTGAAACTCTGCAATAATCTCTCTTTCAAATTGGATAATACTTGAAGTAGTAAATTATTTCAGATAAGATGCAATGATATCTGTATTTAAAATCTCACAAAGAATTTCTTGTTCTCTTTCATTTCCACATATGAATCTTTTTTTTTCGGAAGAAATTTCAATGAAATAGAAAGACAGCTGCTTGGCGTTTTATGAAAGAGAAAAAAAAAGAAGCTATCTTGTATTTTGATCAAACAGAAAACTGAAGTCATTTTGTTTTTCTGAACATTATTGTCTATAAATTTGAAAAGTTATTTTCATTCAAAGATTGTAAAATAATTTATTTTTTGGTGTATGTGTGTTCATGAAATATTTTTGTTGCCCGCAATATTTCAGACTATCCATTTGTATAGTTTTACTTCAGGTTTCCTCCCTTTACATGAAAAGTAGAAATCTTTTTTTTATTTTTTTTTTCCCCCTATAGTGCAAAGCAGAATATGATAGCAAACTAAAAATTTAAACATGAACATCAAAACCTGCTGCCCAACAAGTTTGAATCACTTCAGACTTTTACGGCTACAACTAGGCAGGTCACTTCCATGAAGTTGAATTAACCTTCATTTTTCTCCATATTTGAAATGTAAAGAGAAAAGTTCCACTCAAATGGCTTCCCCCAAGAACTGCTACTTTGTAGAAGAGACTCTCATATAAATACTTCCCTGAACAGTAGTTTCTTAACCTTTTCAATTGTTATCTATTCTCATTATGTCCATTATCTTCACTTTGTTCATGCCATACACCTAATTCTTCATTACAATCTTAACACTAACCCTCTACCTTGAGTGCTTTTCAAGCCTTGTATTAGGTGAACTTTATTATGCTAAAAAATGTTATTTAATTTTCAGCAATTCATCCAGCACAGTTTGATCCATGATTTTTAATGTCTCAGAAGTTCTTACAAACTTCCATTTTGTATTATTGTTGAGCCAAAAAACCCATATTGGTCTCACTTAGGCATCTTGCCAACAAGTTGGTACCAGCCAATTCTTTTTTTTTTTTTCCTCTTCTATATTATTTGGATCTCTTTCCCAAGAGGCTCATCTACACCTGATGTCGAAATATCCTATCTTTAGGGTGAAGAGTGTCCATTATTCTGTGGAAATATTTTGAAGTAATTCAGAATTAGAAAACTGCAAGGATCAACTTGTTGGTAAAAAGTATGTTTGGTCTCCTGTGGATTTCAATGATGTGTAATACACGCAACTGAAGAAGGCTATAAAAATGGATTGTTCAAAACATTCTTGAAACAACAAAAATCACCAAAACAATACATTCCATTGTTCAAAAATCTCTTCATATAATGTTTAAAATTGTTATCAGATGCATTATTGTTCAGGGGTTAAAACAGCAAATCAATTTTGAAGTGTGTTACTTTTTCTTTTATAAAGAAAATATGTTGATCTTAGAACACCAATAAAGTGAGCAATAAAGAAAATGAAATTGGCTTTTAGCCGCAATATAATGCATTTTGACTTCTGTTGGTGATCACATTTTAAAAGATTTATACTGCCATCAATTCAGTAATCCATGGAATATTTTGTTGATGTTTTTGCAAAATATTACTGGATAAACTTGATAAAAGTTGAAGAATGTATCATCTAAAGGGTTACTGTAAAGACCAGATGGAAATACTGGTTTAGCTAACTTGCGAAATGAAATTCTACACATTTACAATGAAAAACAATACCATTTTTTATTTGTCCTTACTATTAAAAAGTTTTTGATTTTTCTATATAATAAATGCGAGTGTCAGTACGTCACACATTTTGAACCCCTAAAGGCTGTAGCCAAACATACCATTTTGGAATCAGGCAGACTGTGAGCAAATTAAAAACATTCTGGGTTGAATCTGGACTTGCAATCCTGAAATTTTGGATTCCCAAGTATTCATTACTGTGATTGTTTTCGACGATATTTTCATGGAATATTTTGAAATTAATTTTTTTTGTACGATAATTTTTATAATTTGGAAATAAATTTGGGAACAGTCAACATTAATTGTGAAAGTCATCCATAAAATAAAAATAATTGTTTATATGGAAAGGACCTACATACATCAAATTGTCTTTAAATTAAGTGGTGGCAAAAAAATTATCATTGAACTTTTAAGAGCTAAGCTTAAATATTAATGCAATATTTAAATACAATGATCAATTTTGAATTCTTCTGTAGTTTTATTGCTTCCTATCAAATTTACTCCTCCTTACCTATTGTGATGAAGGCCCAATCAAGAGCCCTCCACAGGTGCTAGCTTAAAGATATAAAGTGCTAATGCAAGGGAAATAATTTGAAAAGAAAAAGAAAAGAAGCAAACCAACTATTACAATTTAGCCTTTTATATACAAAGGTAAACTAATGGAAAAAGCTTTGTCTTTAGCTGAAAACTCCTTCCAAAACAAGAGAAAATAATTCAAAATCATTTCAAATATTTTAGAAGTGGTAAACATGGAGTCACTTGAGCAATATTTACATGTTAGGAAAATTAGAGAAGTTAGAAGACCAACAAAGCCAACCCAAAATATTTGTCTCCTAATCTGGGTGGTAATTCTGCTTTTGTCAAAAAAAAAAAAAAAAGGAACCCTGCCCCTCCAATGAGTTGAGATTTATGACAGGCTATAACATTTTTTTTTAAACCTTTGCCAGTTATTTAAAGAATTCTTTGTTTTGAGAGAATAATGATTTAGTGATACAAGTCTTACTAACGCAAGAGTATTAGTGGGTGTGAATATAACGAGCCCAACAGGAATTCACTCTCTGATTAACAATTCTGAGCCACTACCATCCTTTATACCATCCGCACATAAAAAGCTTACCACACCTGGTATTTCCAAGTGGTCATCCAACTATGTATTGACCAGGCTTGATGTTGCTTAACTTCAGTGATTGTAGGGGAACTGGTGGTTTCAATGTGATGTGGCTGTAAGCAGTTGAGATTTATGGCAGGCATCTTCAAATTAATGAGGGAAAAGCAATATTTTATATATATATATATATATATATATATATATATATATATATATATATATATATATATATAAATAAAAAGGTAGCTGTCATAATTTTTTGAAAAAAAAGTTAATTTCTTTTGACAAATTATTAATATATATATCTCTGCACACACAGCTATCTTGATTTGGTGAAGTAAAAAATCAAAAAGAGTCTCACAGGTAAATAAGCCAGCTACTTATAAGATATGCAAAATTATTTTTTATCTCAGATGTATTTTTAATAATTATTTCTTTTAACCAAATTGTAAACTTCTGTTATTGTGGTTGTAAAAATATGTAGTTAGGAAAAGAGTGGCCACTTTAAACTGAAACTGTTCTCAATATGTTTTATTTTTATTTCCACCTAGTTTTACTGCATTTCTTCTCATGACAATGGTTTGGGAACAAACCTAAGTCACATGCCATCTAGGCATATGCTAACATTGAAGAGGGTCAGTGATGTGCATTTAACTTAAGAAAATGATGGACAAATGGCCCTAATCTTTAATGGTTGATAAATGTTAAAGCTTCCTGAATGTATTATATCAAAAAGAAAAGAATCGGTTGAAAAATGGAAACTATACTACCTCTACAAGGTCATCTTTTTGTTGAGGCTCAAGAAGTATATTTTATTTATTTATTTTAATGGCCATAATCATTAAGATTGTAAATACATTCCTTTTGCATCCTGGAGTGGCAAAGGTGGAATACAAAATTGCATATTAAAACAAGTTTTGCCTACTGGCATAGCATGTTCCTGACATCAGTATGCTAGATTTTTACAAGTATTGTATTCAGGCACTAAATGAGAGACATGTCCTCAAAGCTGAATATCAGCTATTATCGTCTTTACCAGATGAACAACAACCTTTTGTATTGATACTTAGCTTTGTCAAATATTTGTGATCAGTTCAAATTTACAATTAATAGAAATGCTATAAACAATTGAAAATTCTCAGAGTATTCACTAAAAATATGGTTTTTATGTATTATTGCACTGAAACAAAGCTCAAAGGACAAGATGACCTCTTTGGGTTAAAACTGCCCTGAAAACTAATAAAAGTTCCTGTTCAATTCAGGCCATTAGAAATCATTTAAAAGAGCTAACATTCAAGATGATTAACAGAGTGAGAATAGAAGCCAATGTACAGAAATTTAAATTTACAAGATACTCAACAAATAGTGACCTTGTGCCCGACTTGGTATAGCTATATATATATATATATATATATAAGCAAAAACTGAGAGCTAATGAAAATTCTGGGCGTTTGAAATTTGAACCTTAAAGAAAAATTCCCTTAATCATTATATGAAAAATGTTTAAAATTAAGTTTTGATTTCTGGTTAACTTCCATTTCTTAAATAAAATGCTAATCAAAGATTTTGCCACTTATCTTCTACCAGCTACCAATTAAATACAAACTAATTGCTATTTAGAAGTAAAGAAAATTAACTCTTTGATTGTAAAAAGTGGTCTCACTTGTTCCCACAGGTTCAGATTTATTTCTTAAAAAAAAAAAAAAAAAAAAAAAAAAAAATCTCTACAATTTGAGCCTCTAGTAAAAATGAATTCAATATAGATGACCTGAATATCCAATTTGTATTTGCTTTCCTGAGGAGGAGGGCTAACCCCCCCCCACACACACACATTACCCAACAAGAAATTCTGCAGCAAGGAGATATATTTTTTTTTTTTTTTGAGTTGGTGGTAACATAGAAAAATGAAATATGTTTATTTTGCATCAAAACGCGGTATAACTGGTAAGATGAGATTTCCAAATGAAGAGTCCTGAGGTATGAAGTATCCGACAGAGTTGGCATGGGCGTGCTGCAGCAAGAAAAGAAAACATGAACAGATTTGAAAAGAATAGAACGAAACAGATTAGAATCAAGCTTAATCTTACGAGTTACGTCCCTTGAGTTCAAAAAACTGATCTTAAAGCCAGATTTGAACTTCAAAATGCTTTTGGACGACTTTAAAGAAAATAATGACTATTTTCTCTGGTCCCTCAAGCACAAGTAAATGTAGGGATCTTATGGCAAAGTTCTGTGAGAATGTAAACAAATTGAAAAACTAAAAGTTATCAAGTTAATTCATAAATGTAAAAAAGTAAAATAATCATGAGACAAAGGAATTAAATCTTAATGTAAAAGATAATAAAGAGAAGAAAATGAAAATGTTCAAAAATTAAAAAGATGAGGTCTTAAAAGGTAAATTCAAATAGATATAAACTTAATTTTCTTGGCCTTGTGCCAAAATTAATTTATTAAAACAAATTTCGTTTTTGCTATTATTAGTTATAAATTATGTACAATGTTTAAGTAATGTAAAAGTTATCAAGAGTAGTTGAAGAATTATAGATAAATGCTTTTGTACCTGAAGTGCTGTTCTTTGTGCTGGTGTCATTGGTGATGCATCGTAACTCTAAAATAAAATCAGAAAAAAAATAAAAAATTTTAGTGACAGAAAATATTAGATTTGTTCTTAATAAATGCACATTTTATTGTAATTTTATTTTTCTTTATTAGAGGTCAATCCAGAAATAATCCAGCAATTTAATATTAAAAATCATCTGTAAAAAGTCTTCAGAGATCACCATTAGCTGCTTCAGCCCATTCTCTTTAATCTTGCCCACTATTTGAAATCTCTTCCTTCTTAATGCCATTTTTAGCTTTGGGAAAAAAACCAGAAGTCACAGGGGAGACAAATCCGGAAGCAGGGTTGGTGGCAAATGCTGACAGACTTGAATACCCCACCTCCGCCAAAAAAAAAAACAAAAAAAACAAACAACAAACCTGCACAAGGTGTGAAGAACAGTCAAGATCTTCAAAATAGTTGGATTCTTATACTTTTTTGACGGTCTGTGGAATACCCACATCTTCCAATGGCTGATACATTTTTGTGTGTTCTGCTTACTGATGACCTTCCAGAACACTGATCATTTTCCAAGGATTCCTGGAAAAGTTTGAAGCATTGGTGCCAGAATTTTATCTTCACTCATTAGATCACCCCCAGAAATCATTCAAATCATTTCTGCAAAAGAATTTGCAAATTTCAAGCAATTTGATAGTCACACAAAGTGCACGCAAATTGGCCAATGAGTAAATCCACTTGAGAATGTGCAGTAATGTCTTATCAGTTGCCAAATTACAACAAGGCTGCAAAACTGATTCTCAAGACATTGAATACTTTAACAAACTGAGTGTCCCACAACTTGAGTACTTTCATTTAAGGTAGTGTTTCCCAAATTTTTTTCTCTGGTCTGCATTTTCGAAATGAAAATTTGTTCCCATCTCACAAAATTTTATGTGATAAAATTTGAAAATAAAAAAAAAAAAAAACAGAGAGGGTTAAAAGGAGATAACCATGAATTCGAAGCTGGAACATTATCATTGATAACTCTCTCTTCCAATTTGCAGAGCCTAGTCACTATATTTTTAAGACTTCATATAAAGCAAAAATATCACAATGATAAAATCTGCCAATAATTATTTATAACTATTTATACTGGGACTCATGCATGCAATTACAAGTAATCCATAATAATATTTTTAAATCATATTTATTTTTGACATATAAATTTTTGAAACTGTTTCTAAATCTTTGTCATTCAATCTTTCCACTTCACCTGTTATCCTCTTCTGCTGCACCTATGTGGTGAACCACACTATTTGGGAACCACTGATTTAAAGGGGGGGGGAGGAGTCTGGTTTGTGTTTTTTATAATTACCTTTGACCTTTCTTAAATAAATGTTGAAAGTAAAGAATACAATGAGAAAAACAAAAACAGATACACATACACATAACAAATGCTTCACACACACAGAGTTAATATTTAAATAAATTCATACGAGTGATAAGTTCACTGGTAGAATTTATGTCACTATCAAATTTCTCAAACTATTCACAATATTTCTTATTCATTGCTCCATTTAAATTCGTTTTTATTTATTAATTCTTAAATACTTTCTGTCATTTTAAGCATTTCATTTATAAGCGATAGAATCAAAATTAAATTCTCAGTGTTTGCTAGAATCATGAAGTTTTGTGTTAATCAACACCTTGTCCTCAAAATGAACTCACCGAAGGAGCGGTCAGAGGGTTTATCAACATAGGGTTGATTTCCCTACCAGTATTTAAAGGAGTGGCTGAAGGCATCCCAATTGGCATAGTAGGAGTTATAGATCCAGGAGGGATATTGCCATTGTTGGTGGGTGATGCTGGAGAACCAGCAGTGGGTGAAGTCACACTAGGGGAAGTAACTGGACTGGAAGGAACGCTTGCACTAGAGAGAAAGAACAAAATAAAATAATTCATCAATGAATAATTGTTTCTTCCTAATATGATACATTCAGAGAAACAATGTAGTAGAATGCAGAGATAAAAAAAACAATGGAACCTGGACATAGCAGGAATGCATAAAAAGATAAAAGACAAAGCAGGATAGAAAAATGTATAAGAATTTTTTTTTTTTTTTTTTAAATAATAAGGGTTTAGTGATACAAGTCTTACTAATTGATTGGGTGGTTGTTTATTGCTGCTTATCAAGGGTCTTTGCATGTAAGTGAATATAACGAACCTAACAGCTCTCCTATTAACACTTCTGAGTCATTATCCATAACACCACCTACATATCCAAGCTTACAGCATTTGGTATTCCTAAGCGGCTATCCATCTATGTACTGACCAGGCTCGACATTGCTTAACATTTTTAAATTGTAAGAATTTTTTTTTGTTTTGGAGATAATAATGATTTAGTGATACAAGTCTTACTAATTAAACCCATAGTTGAAGAGAGAGAAAAGGTGGATTCATACTTTTCCCAAAGGTATTTGCTCATAAGTGAATGTAACAAACCCAATAAGAATTGAAACACAGCTCTCCAATTAACAATCCCGAGTCATTAAGATGTATAAAATTTAAAAAAGGAATGCTTATAATAGAAAAAGAAAAACTGCTCTAAAGATGAAAACGGATACATTGGTGAATTCTCCTACACCAGAAGGCAGAAACCTATAATAGATAAAAACATGTGAGGAGGACATATAATATTAAAATCTGAGGTCAGATTGGCACTGGCTAAATTAAACAGAAACAAAAGCAGATAGAATTATTAGAATTATCAGTCTTAGTTTGGGATTAAGATTTTACTAAAATAATAAATAACAGCAGTGAAATACTTTTTTTCTGGTGCCTTAACTTCATGATGCATTATATCCAAAAACTTGTAAAAGTTACTAGAACAACATTACCTGAAGAAAGTTGGAGAGCAGACCAGCTAAAAGCAAAATGATACAGAGTTAATGCTAATATTTGGGCTCAAATGGACCAAGTAGACAAATTATTTTCTTTAGAGAAATCCTAATTTTTTTTACAGGTATTAAAAATATGAACATAGAATAAAAAAAAAAAAATAAAAAAAACAATTTATTATAAAAGACAGGAAACTGTCATGTTGCCAATTCTTACCTTGAACCAGTCTGGTTGTGCTGTGCTTGCATACGAAGAATTTTCTTCTTTTCTTCAAGCTGCTCCAAGAGCTGTTTACGGTTAACTCGTTCTGAAAAGAAGTATGACAAAATAATTTTTTCTTCTTTAAAGCACAAGTTGTCAAAGGAAATCATTTAAAAAAAAAAAAAAAAAAAAAAAAAAAAAAAAAAGGAAAGAAAGAAAAAGTGACTTTTTTTTATGTTTTTTTATTTTACAAAGTGAGAGTGTCATTTCTTGAAAGATATTTTCCAATTCTAATCAAGTCTGGCACAAGACTAAATTTCATTATTTTATACCCATACTATTACAGCTATAAAACTACCTCTGTTGATTCCTCTTAAGCTTTCAAAAAGTTTGTGTATAAAATGACAATTAGTATGGTGTGTTGCTGTCATGAAGATCTTATTTAATTTTTAATGTTTACATTTTCCTTATCCCAAAAATAGATAAATAAATAAAACTTTATTCTTTTTCTACATAATGCTTTGATTTCAAATTAGTCTTGAATTCTAAATAAATTTCAAGGTAGATACATAAAACTTGAACAAGTATGAATTTTAAGATCACTTTTGAGAACTTTAAATTTTCTTAAGATTTTTTTTTACAATTCTGATCTACCTTATTTGTCCATTCAGTGTTATTGGAATGAAAAATCTGCCTAACAGAACAAATTTACATTCATATTTGTTTTCTATTGTTGACTTTGAAAACAAACTAAGGCCTAGTCTGAATCAAAACTATTGATTGTTCTGAATTTTAAATTTGATGTGTGTTCTGGTACCTTTGGTATGTGCTTGCAAATTCTACAATCTGTCAATCTGGACTTGGAATTCATTACTTTTTACATTCTTTTTACCCATTATATTGGAAAAAAGAAAAAAAAAGAAAGAAAATGGGATCCATGGATGAAATACAGCTTCAATAGTAAAGCTAGGCAAAATTAATAAAAGGCTTTTCTTGCTGGAAATAAGGATGCAAAAAAAAAAAAAAAAAATATCAATCAACATTTCTTTTGATGACAACACAAATCAAAGTGCAAGTTTGGTAACATGCTATTTAATCTGAAAATATGACATTTAATAATCATTAAATTAAAACATTGTGATTGTGAATACATAGTAACTGAGATCATGTATAATTTGCTGTTTGGAAAGAAATGCCTAATTTGACTCCTAAATGGCATTAATGAACAGCTGCGAAGGTAAATTCAAAAAAAAAAAAAAAAAAAAAAAAAAAGAAGAAATCTGACATGTACTGCAAAATTTGCTGGATTGTATACAAAATTTAGCTTCTTGGAATCTTATGCTGCAGTCATCCATAGCTCATAGCCTCAAATGGAAATCATTCAAATTTAGTTATTATTAGTCATAGTTATTATCAAAGTATAATTTAGTTATGAAAGATTAAAATGAAAGAGAGAGAGAGAGATGTTAATATCATGTTTGTCTCATAAAGTCCAAAATGAGGCTATAAATCTTCTGGCTTCATATATGTGAAATTATCATTATGTTGTTGAAGTACCTGGATTAATCCCCAATTGCATAACCAAGAAATTGTGAAATGGACTCACCAGGATACAATTCGCAAACAAGTGCTTTTGTTATATCAAAACATGGATGGTTAGATAAATGTCCTAACCAAGACGAGTTGTGTCCAGAATTCACTTGGCATCATGAGAGCTTGTCGTGGAAGCAAAGTGTATTTTGTTGAGAAACAAGATTATTTTACTTTTTTAAGGAAGGTAAAAATTCTTAGAATTAAGTGCTTATTATTTTTTTCGCCTACTTTCAACAAGGATATTAGACACTATTTACATTATTCAGACTATTGTCCTTATCTTTGTCACCATATTTATCACAACGTTTCGGCCATTGTACGCTCCGGCCTTCTTCAGGTGGTTGGAATGTTGAACTGAACCCTTTATTTTGCTCACTGGGGTAGACTGTTCTAGTTCCACATGCCATGTCTAATGGATGTCAGTTATCAGTTATCTCCTGCTTAATTCCCTCTCCAAGTTCTCCATTGCCTTAACCAGGTATTGAACTCACACTTGTTGGGTCCCGTCACTGAATCTAATGCCTTTATCCACTGAGGACATCTGTATATGAATTTCTGGGTATTATAAACCTAATGTTTTCAGCCATCATTTTTTTTACCAGTGCTCATATTGCAATTTTTGCTGTTATCATTGCATGTTTTTATCAGAGATCATATTGAAATTTTGGTTGTTATTATTGCTTTTCTCTGGCACTCCTTATTACTGGTTCCCATTAGGATATTAGAGTCAAAAAATGAAGAATTATGAATATCAGATACATAGTTCTATACCTTCAATGGTTCCCTTACATCCTTGAGATTAAAGAGATCAAATAGTTAAGATTTTGCATACATCATGCTTCAGGTCCACCTCAGAGATGTATACATCATGATTGTAGATGTGTAGCATGTGATTCAGGCCAGTAAATAGCAGATGGTCTTAACTGAATTTAATGTCAATAAGGAATCTTTGAGCTAAAAGAAATTGATCTGTGAGGAACTCGTTAGGTGTTAGGCTGGCTCCAGATGATTACAAAATAGGCTTTGTACTCGGTGTCAAAGCAGAGAAGCCAGATGCATCATCAGCGGGTTGACTCAGAAGATGACCCTCTACACAACAGGTGCAGATTTATACCCTCAATAGCTGCCTCTGACATGTAAACAGCTATTTGACACAGATGCACTGAGGATGTGCAAACATAGGATAAAGTAGATATATGTGCACTACTCAAGAGGGAGGAGGAAGAGCTACAAGAAGAATCCACATTTGCAGAAAGACCTTAAAACTACACACCTACTTGCTAATTGATAAAGTCCAAAGTTGAATAAACAATCATTTTATGTACGAGAGATTTAGTCTCAGATTTTATTAGTCTGTACAATGATAACATTACATAAGCTTGTAGTAAATGGAAGGAGATTATATAGAATGAAATCTTGTACTACAACAATAACCACTGAGAGTCAACAAAGATATTTTCCTACACATCCAGATTGTTTTATACAATGTGGCTTCTTTTGTTAGAAATTTCATAGTTTTATTTCAAAAAATGGAATGAAACATGTTACCACAACTCCTAAATATTCTCCTTCTAATGGAAGAGCAGAAAGATATATGGAAAACCTTCAAGATAGGTATGAAGAAGAGGACTAAAGAAACTAGTCCTTTAAATTCAAAGATGAGTTGATTTTTGTTATCTTACAATTTAACCCTGTAAAGTTTTACAGGAATTCCTCCAAATCCAAAGAAGAGTCTGTAATGTAATCAATCACGACTAGGCATCTCAACTTCAGTGATTTTCTCCCTGATGTGATGTGGCTTCCCTCTGTCTTTTTTAGAAATATTTTCATGGCAACTGTTCTAATGAGCTTATTTCCCCTAGTGCTTTGACTACATGAATTTAAGTCTGCTACTAGATTGGCAACTAAGTCTCACCATTTTACTGTTGAATGAGCTAGAGAAGACTGCCACTTCATGGAACTTGCTTCTGATTTCTTGTTTCCCTGATAACTACAATCTTCAAAAATTTAGATGCAATGTTTTTGTGACATACAATAATTAAGTATAACTCAAGACTTCAATGCTAAAATAAAACAGTATTTAATTACAAATGCCAATAAATACTTAACAAGAACAAAGAAGTAAACATCAAACAAAGATAATTAACCATTTCAGTGAATACCTTGTTAGTAGCACAGCTCAGCTTAACATCCGGTAACTTCTAAATCAAAACCCAAATTATTGATGCATAATAATTCACACTAATTCGACTGGATAGTTCCACTTAATAATCACTGCAGTCAGTAGCCTGACATCACTATTTATACACATGGTGGAAAACATATTTATAAGTCCAGTGTTGGTGTCGGTAGTTACTCATTTTCTTCCTATATGACAAATGTCGATAGCAATCTTCTGTCTCCTTGGCCCTCGTTCCTTTTTTGTCCTGTCCCCAAACCTTCCCATTCTCTTTCACTCCCTGCAACACCCTGAATTCTAGTGGCATTATAGCCTTGCTTGGGGTGAAATGATTAAAAAGCAACACCACCACAAACTTATCTATTGAGGACTAGGAAGGTAAAACCTCTTTTGCTCTTAGTCATTCTGCAGAAATTGTTAATGTTTAGACCTATGAAAAGATGGCAGGAATTTCAGAGAAACAATCCTGATAAATGATCTGTGGTTTGGGAATTTCAAGAATAAGAATTTATGTTAGTGACCCACTTTTGTGAAACAGCAAGAATTAAAACTAGTTCGTAATTTGATACAATTTGACTCTGCAAATGCAATTCAATAATTGATAATGTGAAAGTAAAAGAAACAAAGTGAAGATTTGGAATAAGGCTTAAATGCAGAAGGCAAACTTGACAAGAGCGTCGATCAAGACAAGGTTAATCCAAATCTCAGCAGGGATAACTTATACAATGCAGAAAGTCTAGAACATCATACAAGAAGTCAGGCAAATGAATTTAACAAAGAGCATTGTGGTGATAACTGAGATATTCCAATGAACAGTGCCACCAAGACTTGGAAAGCCAACTATTTTTATTTACTACATTTTTACCCAATGCAAGGCCCAAGAGTCACTCAAGGTACAGCGTTACTGAATGAGGTTGCATGGATCTAAAAAGAGGAAGCACAGATTAAGAGGATATGTAGGAAAGATGACAGCTGACACTAGGCTTGAAGAAGTTAAGATTGTAGTGATCAAGAAAGCATTCTCTCAGTAGTGGTTCTTGGGAAGAAGTTGTCTGAATGGAACTTCCTTCTTGCCAATGGAATATGAAGGGAATGAGGGTGACTTGACTGTGGCAGATCCTAGCTGTAAAGGTCTGAACCAGTGGAAATAAAGAATGTAACATTTGAAAGAGTACTTAAATTCTGAAATTTATTTTTGCAGGTATAATTCTTACTTTTCTTCAGAAAGTTGTTTTTTATGTTTAAGAAAATTAATACGTCTATGCTGTAATCACGTGTAAGTTAAAAGGAAAAGAATACAATAAGAAGTGAATTTCTATTTACTCTGAAAAACATACAGCCAAGTTAAATCTTCATATCAGTCAGTTATGTGCCATGCGTGAGACACGCTTCTTAGGCGATCATGTATCTTTTGATACATGACTGACGTGGCAGATTTTTCACGCTGTGGGTTGCCATTTCTTTCTGCAGTAGACCAGTTGCCATCCAAGGCTATAGAACCCGGTCAGTCCTGCTATATTTGCCCATAGCATGAGAAGAAGAGGGTTCATACCTTTCACAAGGTGCGTAAGTGAATGTAATGGATTCGACTGAAATTCTAACTCGGATCGCCGAATTCTCAATCCGAGCCGTTATCCATTACTCTACCTGACCGTAAATTTAAACTATCTAATTCTAATAATAATAATAAATCACTTTTAATATAGAGTTAACTCCCTTTCGGCATTCAAAAGCATGGTTTTCGTTTTGTTGTCATTGTAGTCGCCATGTTGATCGATTAAAATTTAAAACGTTTGAATGAAACCATTTTCTCTTATCATAGAAAATTATTTTTTAATACAGCTCATATAAGATCAAAACAATGAATACAAAGTTGACGTCTCAGTTACAGATAATTTTAACTTACAGATCGCGACATCTATCAGAGAGATGAAATTTAAATTTTTATTATTGCATTTCCAAAATTTTAACACCTCAGCTCAGCAGAATGTCAACAACTGAGCACAAAAAGTTATTAATTGAAAAAAAATTGGTAATTACTGTATATTATCCATGATAACTACATACAAGAATGTCATTCTTGATAAAAGTTAAAAAAAAAAAATAACCATAAAAATACGTAAAAAATGCGTATATTGTCGAAAATTCCTTTTTCCACAATTATTTGTGCTATTAATGCTTATTACCTAAACAATAATAATACTGAATAATTTTTTTTTTAAACATTAAAGTATATTTAATCACATCTCCCTTAGCTGTCACGATCTGTAAGTTAATTAAAAAAAACAATCTTGCCAATCCGGTTACGGGTTAATTGTTATTAAAAATTATCAACACACACCAAAAACTTCAATATTTTAAAAACTAAAAAGTTATCTTGTGCGCATAATAAGCAAACAAAAATATATCTGGTATTTTGTTTACCCTGTCCGAGTCCTGGTCCTTGAAAAGACATAGTCTAAATCAACGAAGACAAACTCCAAGTCATGAGCTTAAAAAAAAGGGGTCCACTAGAGATAGAAAAGCATGTGGCAGAAGAAAAACCACAAAAGTGAATGAAAATACAATCTCCAACAATAATTTTATAAACTAGATGCTCATTGGCTTTAGATACAAAGTTAACCAATCGAATAATGTGTTAAATATATAGTTAGGAAAATCCAAACGACGGAAATATCGCCGTTTATGATTGGTTCTTCGTCTAAATCGCGACGAATCGGAAGCAAGCTATTATTAAGCCGATTTGTTGTTTTGTGATGGATGTAAGCGACGATCAATAATAATAATAATAACAACAGCTATGGCAGCCCCCCAGGAAAGTTCAAGCTCTGGGAGGAAACGAAGTTCTGTCGAAATTACAAGTAATCCGGTAGAATCTTTCAAGGATCCATTAACAAGTGCTTTAGACAAGGACAGCGAGGACGAGGTGAGATTTTTGTAATTTATTTCTACTTTAAAATGACGGACAGGCGATAAAAAAAATCACGGCCAGCCAAGCAACCACCATCATCGTAGTTTCATTTCTTTATTTCGCGATAATGACGTGACTCTTTTTTTTTTCTCTGTTTGTTGCTTCTTCTTTATTATTATTATTATTACCTTCATTTTCCAGGTTGTATTCAAAAAGATTAATTCGTTCTAAAGTCTGTCTTTGGTGAGTTTTTGCTCCAAGCTCAGATATATTTTAGTTTAAAGATTCTTCTTAGATAGAGATAGATGACATAAATCTGAGTTGTTGATTAATTTTCTCTTTTGATAAGGAAAGGAAAAAGAAAAAAAGAAAGTATGCTAAGTGAGTTTTCTTACCTGTGTTTGTAATTATAGTGCACGCCCACTCGTCGTTAAAGCCGAAGTGAATCAAGGTTTATTAATTTCCTTTGAATTCTCAGACAATAAAAGACAAGTCTTTAATTTTTTAAAGTTCCTCTAAAATAATTTATTTGTGTTTATGTTTTTTTAATCTTCAAATTAAATCTTGGTCTCGTTTCAATACAATCGTTTTTTCTTTCTTAGTCAAAACAAAATGAAGGAGAAATATGAAACCTTTCTTTCTTCATAACTCTTTCATTCGCTCGTTTTGTTTTTTTTAGTCATTGATTAATTTTCGCATTCATTCATTCATTGGAATTGAAACTAAAAAACAGAAATATAAATTATAGCTCTCTTCTTCTTCTTTGAAAACAGTTTTTAAAAATTAGCATTGCAATCTTGACAAGTTAAAAAATAAACACTTTCTCTGAAAGGGAAAAAAATTAAATATTTTTCTCACAATATTTTAAACTTGATCATTAAATTTAATCTCACGTTAAACTCGAAAAGGATTTTTTTTACTTTGTTTTGCAAAAATCCAATTCGTGTTGTTTTTAAAAACAAGTGCCAATTTTTCATCGTTTTCTTGATTTACACAACCAATTCATATTTAGTGAAATTTTCTAAGACAAAAGCTCTGATAATAATATAAAAAAAAGGTTTAACTTTTTTAGTATTTATGCTTGTCTTCAGTAAGGTTTACGATTATAGTCAGTCACGTGATTAAGCATGCTTTTCCCTTAAACTCCATGAATGAATGAGAAGGTTTGCTGTATTTGCAACTAACTTGTCATTTGATTTTTCACTAAGAAAAAAGATTAATCATTAATTTTTGAAAATATTTAATTTGAAAGTCTCTGAAAGATTTGGAACTGTCGAACTTTCCACATAAAAAATAGCGATATCACTTAAAAAAAAAGTTCAAATTAATAAAAAATAATTTTTAAATGTATTGACAATATAGCAAAAACTTTGTTTTTTCTCTAAAAAAACAAATTGTTGCATGTTTTATAAACTCGGTTTCTATATTCTGTTTTGTTCTTTATTGTTCACTCAATACAAGGGCCAAGAAGAAGAGCCACTCAAGGCAGAGGGTTACTAAATAAAATAAATGGGGAAATTTAACTCAAATTTGTTGTTGGAGATTTTTTTGTTTATGCAAAAAAAAAAAGTTTTAAAAATTGACAGTGAAAGTGGTTTGTTCGTAGTATAACTTGATTTGAAATGAAGGACGACTTAGGGAGAATGGTCTGCTCGTTTAAAAAGACAAAAAAGATTGGGAAGTGGGGGGAGCTAATTTTTGTTGATTAGCATTCATTCCACGACATTTTTGTCACTTCTTGATGAAGTAAAAATAAAAATTATTTTGTTAAAGAATAAAGAAAGTTCATTCAATACGAAATTACTACTTTCTTCTTATATTCTTAATTGGCGTTGGGGATGAAAGAGAAAAGAAAACTAAAAAAAGTAAGCCACTTTGTAAATATGAAAAGAGTGCTGAAAAGTTCTTGGCCCGATCGTAAAAATCAGTATTTCGAGCAAACATCAGAATATTGATTTTTTTTTTTTTTTTTTTTGTGGTGGTGGATATTGATTGGGGGAGGGCACCCCCCTCCAAAATTATTAGACGTCTCTTTCTGTGGCATCAGTTGAATTTAGGGCTTTAGGGTTTGGCCTACTTATTGAATAAATAATAATCGACATCACTTTTTTGGAAATAAGTCTCGCAAAAAAAAAAAAATTGCCCCGCTAATTAAAAAAAAAAAGTTAAAGATATATTTCGAATATAAAACGTAAAGTAAAGAATTAAAAAAAAATTAAATTCAGTCTCCTTTGAATGTTTATTGTTCTAGATTTCATTTTTATTGAACTGCCTTTATTTCATTATCAACTAGTCATTTTTGGATGTTTTGTTTTTCTTTCTAAATTAGTGAATGAATAATAATGACAGGCACTGTTTGTTTCTCCAGCCGCATGACTTTCTGACACAAATACAAAACAATTTAATAATAATCACTGGTTTGTTTTATGTCTAATTTTTTTTGTCTACTTGTACTTATGATCGACCCACCCGATAATCGATGTGTTTAAAGAAAAAGAATTTACTGCTGTTTAGTCAATATTTCACACCGTTAAGAAGTTCTGATCACTTTTTTTTTTCTTTCATTTTTTTGACAGCACGTGACAACGTCAGTTGAATGTTGTCATTGAATGTCACGTTCTGCTAGCTGTCTGGAATAAAATTATTATAATAGTGATTAATTATGTTCAAAGTTCTTTGTTTTTTATTATTATTTTTAAAAAAATCCAAGTTTTTAAATCCTAATATGTTTTTTTTTTTTTTTTTTTTTTTTTTTTAAACATAATTAATACATTGGCATCTATAATTAAAAAAACTTCAAACCGTAAAGAATGTTATTTTCATTTGCTTGGATAAAGCGAAAAGCCTGTCTCGGTCTTGTGATACAAGAAGATGCAATTCTAACATTGCAAAAGAAAAGAAAGATTTTAAATTTTAATTTCGCATTGTCGATCGACATATTTTTTTAAAAACTGATATTTTTTTTTTCTTAAGGAAAAATTTCTTTTGAGTTTTATACATTATTTTTTTTCACAAAGGTCACCCGTTTAACAAGGGTTATTGTCCTTCATAATTTATCAATCTTCATTATTTACAAAAATAATTTTAGAAAAATAAAATCGTAAATATTTGTCACCCAATCAGATCATCAAACGTGTCACAGGATAATGATTCAAGGTCGTAGGGTATTGTCAAGAAACTACCCAGTTTACTTGAACGTTGCTCTAGGGTATGCCATTTCCTCACCATCTGACATTATCCCTTTTTTAGTTTAATGTGGGAAGGTGTCACTTAACTATTGGCAAATGGACAGAAATCAGATAATTCTTTACATACCCTTCTATCTCTATCTCTCTCTACTTCTCTACCAATATACACTTATGAAAACAAATTTAAAAAAAAGACATCACTAATCAAAATAAAATAAAAACATGAATAGTTTACAGCAAATTAATATTTATTTTCGTTTTCGTCAAAAATGATTATTAAGGCTTGAAAAATGTATTTTATTAATGATGTGTAGAATATGAAACCAGATAAAAAGAATAAACAAAAACTTCTTTAATAAATTTGTTTCTGCTATTGCTCTTGTCCAGATTTTAGCCCAACCATAAGCCAAAGAATGTCATGAGTGCATCAGTTTTTTTCTAACAAAACTTAAAATTTCTCAAATCTCTTAGTAATAGACACCATCTTTTTGCCATGCCAGATCTGTCTGTCTATCTATCTATCTGTCTGTCTGTCTAATATATATAAGTGAACATTGAAGTCAACACCCAGATCACTACACACTACACAAAAGCTTTCATGTTTCAATACTTTGATTGTACTTCTTCCGCTGGTGATAAAATGATTTTTAAGAAAATTTAAAAACAAAGTGTTACTTCTTTTCCAAAAGTTAAAAGGTGGGAAACATAAGGTCAGAATTAAAAATAAACTTGTGTGTATGTCTTGATTAAGCAATTAAATGTCAGATCTATGCTAAATAGAAAAGTAAGCTCAGAGGTGGGTGAGTTATTTTTTCATGCCATGATAAACTGGAACATAGACAGTCCATCATTGACAATTGTAGAAAATATGTAAGTGACAAATGTATGTATGTATGTGTGTGTGTATATATATATATATATATATATATATATATATATATATATAATATGAACTCAAAGAGCCAGGTAAACCTACCTAGGTTTCACCTATATGTTTGCTTTACTTGTTTTGGAGGTTTTTTTTCTTTGGACTCTGAGCTTGAATTCTGGACGATTGTTTTCGCCTCAATTTCATGGTCTTAGTTCTTTCTTTTTTCGTCCCTTATTTTCCTTTGGGCATATATTGTTGTTTTTTTTTTTTTCAATTACAAGGCAAAATATCTAAGGTTTTTCCAAACAAGTATAACTATTTATATTATTATATAGAATGATAATATTAGTAATTGGTATGGATATTTCCAAAAGGATATAAATCCAGGGAGAGCTTTATGCCAAAAACAGAAATAATTATTGTTATAAAGAAAATGAACTCTTAAAAAACCATGAGGTGATATTTATTTCATTAAATTTGACCCCAACACTTCAGGCTTCATTATACAAATATAAATAGAAAAAATTTTTCCAGATTTAAAAAATATTTATAATTTATGTTTTTTAAGAGCTCATTGTCTTTACAGCTATATTTTATTTATATCTTAATTTTTACTTCAAATGTTACTTCTTTTTTTTGTGGATACCCATTTTTGAAATAGATATGGTTTATATTTTTTAAACAATGTGTATTACGTCTATTGGTCTGTGCAGTTCACTAAATTTCATAAAGAAAATATGCACTCTTGTTAAGCGTTCTTGTGTGCACAGACTGATAGGCATAATACACACTTTTTGAAAAAATAACAAACACAGCGTCTATTTCAAACACTCTAAAAATAATGTTTGAAGTAATAAAAAAATGTTAAAATAAAAATTCATTAAGTTTAAAAATGTATATGAAAGAAAAGACTATTGCATTTAAGCCAAACTATATATATATATACTAGCAGTAGAGCCCGGCGTTGCCGGGGATGTAACAGTAAGCGATAGATCAAGTATGGACGATCATAAAGACTGAAAAATAAAATTGACAAAGATTATTGTTTAAGGTTGACGAACACACATGTCTTAATTAGTTTTTTTTTTTTTTTTTTTTTGAATTGGTCAAACCCAAATTCAAATGAAAACATTGTTTATAATCGTTATGATTTATGGAAATAATACAGTAATTCCATCTACGTTTTATTAATTGTATTGAGAAGTTTTCCTCCCTCCCTTCCTTCTACACTTGTGCGTGTGTATGGCGCGTCCACTGATTACACCCCTTCCTTTCTCGTTAAGCTAAATATAATAGTAAACCTTTTCTTTAGTTATTTAAAACTAATTACAAGTTATTGTCGTTTTATCAGCTCCTGCTGATGTCGCCAATCTAACAAATTTAAATTACCCGTTTTCCCGCGTTTTCTCTGACGTCACGGACAAACTAATCGTTTGAGTTCAGTCGGACTAAAATTTTTCGATCCATGAAGTTGACTCATTTATTCCTCGTCAGTCAACCTTAAATACAGACAGGGATATCTTACTGACAACAAATAATTCTTCATCCCTTTTGGCTCGTTTTTAAAATAATTTTCTTCAAGGCGATGCAACCAACAACAAATAAGTCTTCGTCCCTTTTGGCTCATCGTAAATAATTTTTAGCAGCAAATTCAATGCCTGATCCCAAAATCTGAGATGACTGAACTTTCTCACGACCGTGAACCTGAACAAAAAAGGGTATAAAAAAAAAAAACAACAAAAAACACTACACACACTTACAATACCCAAATCCACAGTAAGTACTTTTTTTTTTTTATCTGTGCACATCTACACCTTGTGTTAACGAAGTTCCTTTTTCCAGAACTTAAAAAAAAAAACTTTTTCCGCCTTGTTCACCTTTTGCTATCCTATTTTCATGATGAACATTTTCCCTGATCTCGTACCACGAGATAATCTACTTGTTTTTTCATTTAATAAAAAATTACACTTGGACAAAAAAAAAACAAACTTTTCCCGCCTTTGTTCACCTTGCTATCTTTCCAAAAAAAAAAGTGAAGTTTTGTTGAAATCGGTTGAAAAATGTAGATAGCCTTTCTCTGTAATCTTTTACAATTTATGATTTTTTACTTATTGAATACAGTAAAAAAAAAAATTGCATATTTTGCTTGTGGTGATTCATAATTAGAATTCTGATTTGAATATATTTTCCACTCGTTGTTTCTAATACAAAAATATTAATTTTATTTGGGTTTATTAATTTATTACAAGTACTGTGTTCTTTCCTTAATAATTATCATCTTGAAATATTGTTTTTTGTTTTTTTGTCTATCAGATTTCTTACGTCGGCATTTTTAAATTATTTCTTAATACTTTCTTTTAAATATTGAATTAATTTCAAATAGAACCAATGCCTTATTGATCTGCCTTGTAACAAATTGCAAAAGGAATTGAAAAAAACGGCACTAAAGTACGTGGAATTATCTTTCCTATTTTATCAAATCGTAAAAAATGATTGATTATCTGTCCTTTTTTTTACCTAAAAAAAACAATATTTTTAACGAAAATTTCAGACGTGCTAAGAACGATTAAAAAATGTAAAAAAAAAATACCCCCAAAATACTTTGATCTTTTTTCTTTAATAATAATATGAACATTAGACGATAAAATTTTGTTTTCGTCAAGTTCGGCTTTTTTTTCATCATGCTATGCTCTTTTGTTTACATTTTTGTGGGTGAGTTGTCCCTCTTTCATTCTCACGATGTGTCTTAATCGTGTTTTCAAATTGATTTTGTTTAAAAAAAACAATGTGTTTTTCCCATTTTTGGTGTCGTAAGAACCATCACAAGGTAATTTTATGTAGTCCTGTGAAGTTTTGTTGAAATCGGCTAAAAAATGTAGGAAATTCGATCCAATATATAAACGTTACAGACACACACACACACACAATCTGTGTTTTATAATAAGTAATATATATATATATATATATATATATATATATATATATATATATTCTAGAGGAGGTATGGTGAAGTAATGGATGGCAGCTTGGATTGAGGAATTGGAGATCCAAGTTCGAATTCCAATGAGATCTATTACATTCACTTATGTGCTAATACTCTTGGGAAAGGTATGAATCTGCTTCTCCCCCCCCCCCAGCTATGGGTAAATAGCAGGACAGACTGGATTCTATAGCCTTGGGTGCCAACTGGTCTAGGAGAAGGAAAACTCTGAATTCAAAACTGGCCTGGAGGCAAACTTGATGGGCAGATAGGGGCTCTGGAGTCTTGCAAAGCAACCTGTCTAAGGGAAGGTCACTCTGAAATATAGCCAGCATCCTTGCATGTTGCTTATCTCGTGGCAGCCTTTGCAACCGGGAAGCAGATAGCAGGCATTGGACATGAGAGTGGGACTGGGAATGCAGAAACCTTTTTCACTTAAATAAATTTCAGGTGTAGGTCATTCTATGACACTAGATGAATCTTCTACTCTCACGAAAGTACTCCTCGGTAATGTGTTGTTGGAATACCTACCCATGCGTTGGCTCACGACGCGAGAATCCATGTATACATATGCTATGTTTATTGGATAAAAGTAGACAATATCTGGAATCAAATGTATGCAGATCTAAGCAGTATGTCCATGCAGTTCCCTGAAATTTGCATTGAAGCAAAATTTCATATATTGCACAAAGTTTAAAATAGATGATGTAGAAATTAGCTTATTTCAGGTTTGTGTGAATATTGTGTGCCTTGCCCATTAATCATTACCTTTAGTTTGGTTTGGTTTATTTTGTTTTACGGCATATCAACACCTCAATGGGTTATTTAATGCCGCCAAAACTTTTTATTGCTGGTAATATTTTGTTTTGTCAAAAATCTGTGTCTGGTAATATTTTTCCTTTAAAATTGTATTGCTGGTAATAATTTTTTTTCAGAAAAGTATTGCTGGTAATAGTTAACTATTTGCCCATAGCTGGATCCCTAACAGGTGCTACCACCCCAGGTCAGGGTGGACCTGGGAATACCAGCAATTAAGAGGTGGTTCCACACTCCTCAAAACCTCCTGATCCGAGGCCTTGCTGCTGGACATAGTTTATCGTCTTACCCAGGACGCGGATGTAGCTTAATGTCTTACCCAGGTCAATCATTACCTTTTAATTAGAGAATTGAGGGAAAATGCTGTTTGGAAATTACAAGTAGATCCACTAAAATTGCTTAATATTCCATGGCATTGTAAAAGTATGAAAAGATGGATTGATAACATGACAAAAGCCTCATCTTTTTGAATAGGATACAGGTGGAAATTTCTGTATATTCTGAATTTAATTCAATTTAGAAGTAAAATGCTGAAATTGGAAGCTAGATGTCAATTTCTAAAGAATAATGAACATATCACTAATATTATCATTTTTGTCTAACTTAACTAAAAAATGTCGGTGCTTCATGTGAAGTCACTTTTTTTCTGAAGAGATCTGCAAAAACTGTAGAATTATCATTCCAAATCTTAACCCCCCCCCACACACACATATCTCTGTAAAAGAACAATATGAAGAAAGACAAAAAGAAAACATATCTTAGCTGATATGTTTTATCCTCAGATGAAGTTTATTTATCAAGGCAAATGTAAGGATTTTATTTTAAAACATATGTTTATAATTAAAAATATTAGTTTTTCAA